CACCAAGCCCTACTATCCAGGTTCCTTCCCCTTTATCTCCAGACAACAGTTTACAACACTGTAAGGCCTGGACCAGACCAGATACGGTCGATTTCACATTTCCCTAGCGAGTGGCTGTACAGCCTGGACCCTGACCAGGTATACGTTCTACTTTCACCTCCTCAGTCAGGAGATAATTCCCCAGTAGAATAATGGACAACCGAAGCTCCTAGACTTTACTTCCCAGTGCATAAGTCAACATCCCCCGGCAAGGTTCCCCCTCGACAGCAGGTATAGGAACTCTCATCCAGGAATTTCTTATGCAACCAATCTTTTCCGGATGGCATCTTTAAGCCTGTCTCCTGTGATTTCCCGTCGCCTTCTAAATGGCATCTGTAAGCCTATTCCCGACGTCACCAATCAGTATTCTTCATGCGAGTGCAAATTTCTGGGCACTCTAGTGTTCAATCATCTTCCGCCTTCAGATCACGAAGGGCAGTTCAACCAATCTACATCCTCAGGCTTAAGAAGATTGAACAGGGGCAACTGTTGTACCCCAAAATTTTACCTCCCATTTCTCAAAGGATCATCCTGGACTCTCAGGTTTATTTCTGTCAAGTTTCAAGTCTTGAATTACAACCTTTTCAAGAAAATCACTCACAAGGGCAAAATGGTCATTTGCACACCAAAGGAGTCAAACTATGAATTTTGAATCAAAAATCAAGTTCCAAGAATCATATTTCATTAAGGCATGAAATTGGTTTATCAAAAATCAAAATTCATAAGTTACTTTGAAAATTAAATTTTCTAAACGTTTAGAAAATTTTCTAAGTGTCTAGAGAATATGATACTTCAGAACTTCTGAGCCAGGCTCTATGCAAGTGCAGTTAGAAGATGCAAACACGGTTCAGAACATGATGCTCCTTCAGAACACGCTGGATCCAGAAGATACAAAGATCAGAAGTTGGATGTTCACTCTAAATGATGCTGAAGCTGAACTTCTGACCCAGAATCAAACAATGAGGCAGAGTTTCACATGGCAGGATTTATGATTTGATAAATCTCATCATCATTTAATGCTCATTAAATGCTCACAGCCACTTTTGAGTCTTTATCCAAAGGATTTCCCCACGTGTGGCATAAAAATACCTTTGTTGTCCTTGAAAAGTAGATTTTGTACAAAGCATATGCTAGACCCATTCTTCGTTTTTATCTTCCTCTCCAGAGATATTTAAGCCTTGTAAAAGGACCTTGCTCCAATGATGGCCTGTGTTTTATCTCCAGTAATGTTCCCATCCTGTTGAGATTAGCCGAGTGTTGGGTTGTGCTATGATGTCTTATCATCTCCAGTTTATCTTGTCTATTTGTTTTGTCAGCACATACACGACATTCATTTATTCATTCACACTAGCATCATGCACGCACAGTTGTATTTGTTGATGTCATTGAGTTCGTATACCTTGGTTGTGTCTATTCAAATAATGTATTTGATCTTTCCAAATAGAGTGTCAACTTAAGCATAAAGTGCGCCTCCTTTCTAATTCCCCACTGAGTTAACTCTCGTGGAAGAATCTTGCTTTAGCTTTCCTTTTCCATCTCTAGATAGGATAAATCCCCAGTTGAGTTATTTCCTCATTGGGTGGAGTCTTGTTTGACTGTTTTCTCTCCAGTTCATTCCTGGATTGAGCTATGTCTCTTGTGAATGATACCCTGTGGATATCTCTAGGCTGTGAAACCTAGATGGAGAGTGCATTTATTTCGCAATGTAAATACTTGGTCTCCTCAAGAAGGATTTATTCATGGTTCCCCATTCAAGATGAACTTTATTCCCCAGCAGTGTTATCACAACCTTCTTCTGGAATATCGACATGAAAACAAGCGACTAACTCTTTATTTAAGCAGTTTGATTATTTCTGATTTCTCTACGGCAAATGGCGGTCTCTTCACGAGCAGTTTGTCCATCCTTGATGAAATTATTGATTCTCACCTCCAGCAATATCTTTATGATATTTTATGGGTATCTTTTAAAAACAGCAAGCGGCAGTCTCTTCATGGACAACTTGTATGTTATCAACACTTTTAAAAACGGCAAGCGGCGGTCTCTTCATGAGCAACTTGTGTGTTATTGTTATTTTTGAAAAAAAACAGCAAGCGGCAGTCTCTTCATGGACAACTTGTATGTTATCAACACTTTTAAAAACGGCAAGCGGCGGTCTCTTCATGAGCAGCTTGTACAGAAAACGACAAGTGGCAGCTTCTTCATGAGCAACTTGTACGTTAGTACTTTTTGGAAGACAACAAGTGGCAGCTTATCTATTTGAGCAACTTGTGTGTTATTGTTCCCTTGAAAATGGCAAGTGGCAGCTTCTTTATGAGCAGCTTGTGGGTTTTTGGCAACAATTGGCGGACTCTTCATGAGCAGCTTGTGGGTTTTTGATGACAAGTGGCAGTCTCTTCATGAGCAGCTTGTATAGAAAACGACAAGTGGCAGCTTCTTCATGAGCAGCTTGTACGTTAGTACTTTTTGGAAGACAACAAGTGGCAGCTTCTTCATGAGCAGTTTGTACGTTAGTACTTTTTGGAAGACAGCAAGTGGCAGCTTATCTATTTGAGCAACTTGTGTGTTATTGTTCCCTTGAAAATGGCAAGTGGCAGCTTCTTTATGAGCAACTTGTGGATTTTTAGCAACAATTGGCGGACTCTTCATGAGCAGCTTGTGTGCTTTAATATTCTTTGAAGACAGCAAGTGGCGGTCTCTTCATGAGCAGCTTGTATGTTATTGACACCTATGAAAGAAAGCAAGGGGCGGCCTCTTTATTTGAACAGCTTGTGTATCCCCAACAATAATATCTACCCAGCAAATGGCATCCCTTTCGGAAAAGTCCCGTGGGGAAGTTTGTTATTTTATCCTTTTCAAGCGATATCTTGGTTAAAGAAGAAATGTGTTACCGTTCTTGGTAAAACTCATAAATCAGAGATGTTTATCTCCAGCCACAGTGCTGATGTCAATCATTTTGTTTTCCAGCCACAGTGCTGATGTCAATCATTTTCCATTCTCAGTACTGATGTCCATCGTTTCCTTTTCCAGTCACAGTACTGATGTAAATCATTCTCTTTTCCAGTCTCAACACTGATGTAAATCATTCAAGAGTCTCTCATTTGAAGTCTATGACTTTGTTTCCCCAGTGGAGTTACAACCTCTTCCTCTGTGGGATTATTGTATAATGTGCTTGGTTTCTCCAGCATAGTCTGTCTCATATGGCGTCATTCCCCATAAAATTCAGAGCATTACATTCATATCATATCATGAACATAATCGCGGTATCTTAAGGCCAAAAATTGTGTATTCTATATTTAAGTCCCTTCAATCTCGTCGAAATGAAGATCCCAATCTTCATATCTCCAGATAGAAGAAACTTAAATAGGGGCAGCTGTTGTACCCCAATTTTTGACCTAAGATCCCATTTTTATTTTTTGCATTTTTTAAGATAAGTCAAGGTCACGAAATACGGTCGGTTTTTAACTCTCTCACCTTCGAGCGTTTCCTATGCATAGATTATCAAGTATCGTGAACATTTTATCTTATGTGTCACTAACTTCTAATCACATACAAAGGTGTATGTTTGTGTTTCTTTTGTTTCGTGTGCAGAGATAGGTCTGAATCAAGAGCATCAGGCATTGCGCCTCAGTTAGGGTTTTTAGTCCCTCAAGTTTTCAAGAATGTTGAATCACCAATTTTCAAAGGCTACTTCATCAAAGCTTATCCTCTAATCTCAAGAGAACAGCCAAGGTTTCATTATCACTGGTTCACATATGCATCAATGCGTCCGGGAATGCAAGGAATGATCAAGCTTGCAAGTCGATTCAAAGCACTTAGACCAAAAAGCCAACTTTTTCAAGATCAAGTTCAAAGGATCATAATTTCCTCAATTTCCAATATTTTGAGACAGTTCTTTTTGCATGTTGTCATATTATGCTTTGAAGGCTATGGAATTTATTGAAACGTTATAGGTCATTCTCATAACCTAGAATATTCTTAACCTCCAAGCCACAATTCATGCCATAATTGTTCTCTAAAGATATTGAATTTTATGATGAGTTTGTTCATGACACATGATGATGAGTTTAAGGATTCTTTAAATTGTTTGGCGCTTGTTTCAAGTCACTTGCATTTGAGCATAAGTGATTGTCAAATTATGATGAATTTTTTTACCAAGGCTCTTAAGATACTATTTGTTCACTCAAGTACTAATGACAAGTTTGCAAATATTCTTCAAGAGAAATTCACAAAAGTTCATCAATTCTACAAGGACTATTTCTAAGGAAAAAGTTCTTATTCAATTCAAGAATTTGATACAAACTTTAAAGAAAATTTCAAGATCATTGATTCAAGGATATTTGTCATGTTTAGTTTCAAAAGTGGAGAATGCATCATGTTAATTTTTAGGCATATTTCAAGTTTGCAATTTCAAAAATTTCAAGACAAATCCATTCCAAACTCAAATGAAATATTTAAAGTTACATCCAAATTCAAGACTTGTTACAAATTTCATATCCCATTACAAATACTATAGCCACAAAATCACATGAAAAACATTGCAAATCCCGAAGCCTATTTTAAACTATCCTTCACCAATCTTCAAAATACCAAGTCTAAGCCTATGCTATTATTTTCAAGCCCGTTTTCCTTGCTTCATGATGCATCAAAATTGCTCCATAACTTGTACCAATGTTGTCTGCAAATTAGCTGCTACAAACACTTCAAAACAGTCCAAAAAATCTGCTACAAAATCAGTCCCTGTTGCTGTCCACCCTGCTACTGTCTTGCTGCCCAGACAAACTGCATAAGCATGCCAAAAACCCAGCATCATATCAGTCCAAAATACCCTGCAAAAACCTGCTATCTTGCTTCCCACGAAACCCTGCTACTACTGCCATGCTCAAGTCTGTCCAAGACCTACTACTGCCTCTGCTACATTGTCCTTATACTTGCTATCCAAAACATGCCCAAAAATGAAACCTCAAATACCTGCACCGAAAAACAATAAAATAGTTACAATAAAACCAACTTTTCCCCCCAAATTTGATCATTTTTCCTATAAAGATAAGATATTGTTCAATAGAAAAGGAGAGACAAAAAAACCAGTAGGGAGAGTTACAAGGGATTCTTTTTTCATACAAAAAAACCAAAAAAAAATCATCTAATTTGTAGCTTCATATATACCCTGTAATTATACCACAGAACAAGATATATACCTTCAGCAATAGCAGTAGTTACAAAAAAAATCTGCACAAACATCAATCTTCCACCACTGTTAAACTGTAAACCACTGCACCAGCTTTTCGCCCACCATCCCATCTTTTCTCCAACCTCTGAGTCATTCAAGTAAACTAAACAACGGTGAAACAGAGAGGAAGAACAAATCACCAAATTCAATTCAGAAATCTCTCAAGCCGGATCTCTGTCGTAGAAGTTCTTCAATGGAAACAAAGAAAACTCATAAACAATCATGATTCAAACAACATATAGCTTACCAGTGTTGTTCCGATTTTCTATTTGACCGCAGTTCTGCCCAAAAGTTCGCAGGTACGTTCAACTCCGAATGCAACCCCATGAATAATGGGCACCACCACCTCGTTCGAGCCACCACCGGCACCTCAGCGCAACCGCCACCCCCAAGACCACCAACGGAACTGCAGCGATCTCGCAAGCCCTTCCGCTGTGCCGCCATCGTCTCCTTCCGATCCGGTAACGTCTTTCTTTGTTTTTCTTCACAGCTTGTTGGTTTGTAAGTGACATTCATGATTATGAAATTGCAAGAGATTTGGTGTATTGTTTCTTGAAAGTAAGATATTTTTTAGAGAAAGGTAAAAGAGAATCTGTGAGATTTTTGTTCTTTCTACTGATACAAATGAACATATGTCATTTTGTTTATTTTTTATTTTATTTTTGTTAAAGAGGAGTGATATGTGTCAGCTCCTCATTGGACCTATTTTTTTCAAAGCAATTTTTGAGGGATGGGGGGCGTTGAAATGTTGACCGAGTATTGATGATGGAGTAGGCATGCTCACATTTTTTATTATCATTATTACAATAGCTTAGGATTAATTTTAGTTAGTTTTGAAATAGGTACACTATATTTTAACCTAATAGTAAACCTCATTATATACAACTAATTATTATTTTTCATTTTTTTCAATTTTAGTTTTGATTTAAGTTAGTAATTTTATTATTAATATAGTTTAGATTAACTTAGTAATTTTATAATGAATTTAGTTTATACTTAAACTGGTTTAGATTTAATTTAGTAACTTTAAAATTTTCATTTTGGTTTAGATTAAATTTAATAACTCTAGAATTTTTATTCGATTTAGATATAATTTAGTAACTTTAGAATTTTATTTGTTTTAGTTTTGACTTAGTAAACTTTAGAATTTTTTGTTTATTTTTATTTTAGTAACTTTAGGATTTTATTTCATTTAGATTTGACTTAGTAAACTTTAGAATTAGATTTTATTTCATTTAGATTTGACTTAGTAAACTTTAGAATTAGATTTTATTTCATTTAGATTTGACTTAGTAAACTTTAGAATTAGATTTTATTTCATTTAGATTTAACTTAGTAAACTTTTAGAATTTTATTTGATTTAGATTTAGTTTAGTAACTTTGGAACTTTCTTTGTTTTAGGTTAGCAACCTTGGAATTTTTATTTAGTTTAGACTTAATTTACTAATTTTAAAATTTTTAATCTAGTTTAGATCTAACTTAGTAATTTTAGAATTCTAATTTATTTTAGATTTAATTTATTAACTTTAGAATTTTAAGTTAGTAATTTTATAATTTTAATTTAGTTTTAGTTATTAACTTTAAAATCTTGTTTAGTTTAGTTAGAAACTTTAGAATTTAAGTTTAGTTTACTTAGTAACCTTAGAATTTCAAAATTAGTTTAGATAACCCTCTAATTATCTTTTCCTTTTATTCATGATTCTTCTTTGTGCGTTTATTTAGTTTCTTATAGTTTATCTTGTCACTATTCTCCTTGTTTGTTTCTTTTGGATTTTTTTTATATATGATTCTTGCTCGATTACTAGACCTACCCACTTATGATTAACTCCAAAAGAAAGAATTAAATTTGTTGACTTCATGTCATCAAATATATCTTACACGATCGAGCGAATACCCCCATTCATTAAAAACGTAGGATAATTTTCCCAAATATCCGATTTCTTCAAAAAACTCACACCTTTTAAGTCAAAACTTCGACACTAGGTCGTCGCATCTTCAAAATCTCGTCCATACCCATCTTTTAGCCAAACGAATCATTTTAATCAAACAAATAATTTTAAACCAAAAAACAGATATTTCAAAAGGTTCCTGCGGAGTACCGCAGATGCATTGGGTGCTAATACCTTCCCATTGTATAACCAACCCCCGAACTCTCGATCTCTTTCAAAAAACGCATTATATTTTTATTACTTTTAAGTATTATTTTACATTGCATATTTTAGGGTTTTATTTCGCTCTTTTCCCTTTTCCCTTGGAAATAATAAAGCGCGGTGGCGACTCTTGCTTTTTGTGAGTCAAGTTAATTAATAGCTTGATCTCCGATTTTCACCGCTACAGGTAGATACTCGATACTACACTCATTGAGGGTTGTTTTCTTGGAATATTTTGGTCGCCAGTTAAGTGGCTAAACCAAAATAATGAACACAGAAAATAATCCAATGATATTGAGCTCCTTAGAACCCGGCTTCTATTTTAGGACAGGATGAGCCAACTAACTTCAAGAGGGTACTTACCTACAAACCCCATGCAAGCCTAAACCTAAGGACTTGTTTGCTCTGTGAATATGATTGCCTGTATATACACTTACTTGCTTCTGCATACATGTACATAACATCATAACATCATACCATAGCATTTTCACTAACCACTTCAAGGATCTTGAGGGTCTTTTGATGCAGGGTCACGTTGAACCAGACATCTACCAAAGGGCAAGAGGATTCTCCTCTAAACAAATGCCATCAAAGATCAAGTGCAACAACTTGAATCAGGGGCTATGACCCACTTGACATGGTGAGCTTGATTATCGTGGAAAGACATCCACCGGTGCAAAGTTCTCCATTCAAAGATCAAAGTTCAACCTCTAACATTTTCTTGTGTTTACCCCAAGAGATCCTTGAAAACATGCATCCACATATCAGGCATTGCATCATGACAATTTTTCCTTTTCAGGTTTCCTTACTCTCCTACTGTTTATTTCAGTAGGGATGGCCCTAGAGAGGACTGTCAAGGATATCCAGGATCAAAATGCTCAGCTTCAGGAAATGTTCTTGAACCTGTCCTTGGGGCAAGAAGAAGTGAAGGCTCTCCTCACAAAGGGCATGGTCCAGGGGAATTCAAGCAATGCCAGGAGTGGTCAGTTGGAGGAACTGCAGTTTGAGCTTTCAACAATGAGGATCCAGATGATGGGGCAATTGGTGGGCCAGATGGCTCTCATCCAGGACTTGGCTCAAAGACAAGAGGAGCTCAGAGTTCTCGTCAACCAACTGCTTCGGGACAACCAAGTGGGACACACATATGAGGTTGAAGAGCAAGTCACCACTCAATCCCCCACCAGACAAGAAGACAAAGGAAAGGCTCCTCTACTTGCTTCAGGGTCACAAGCCCATCAACAACCTCGCCAGCGTCAACGGGGTAATCGACGTAAGCAAAATACGCCGGGAAGACAGTTCACTGAGACTGACATACCGTCATCTCTAATATTGGAGCGCTTGTTGGAGGTCAACCTGACTGCTTTGAAGGATCCTATTTGGAAGCCCAATACCTCCGCTCCTAACTATCATCCCGACGCATTTTGTGTATACCACTCCTATAGCCCGGGACATGACACCGACGACTGTTGGGCCTTGAAGAACAAGATTCAAGATCTGATTGACATTGGGGTGCTAAGATTCATGCCAGATGGCGAGATGAAAATATTCCATTAAGGATTTCTCCACCTGAATTGACAAGGCTCGAACTGAGAGGCTTTTGTTTCATTTGAATTTCCAAGTTGTAATCTCTTTGTTATTCAAACAATTATCTGTTGATGTCAAACTTTGTTTCATTAATGCATTGCATATGTTTGTCTTGAATTCATCCATTCGTTTTCACTACTCTTATGCTTTCTTTATGATATTTAACTCTTGATAAAAAGCTACAAGCCTTTAGAGGGAGGATGACAAAACAATACCATTATCTCATACAATATGCTTTTGAACAGACTTTGCTGATGATGTACAGGCATTTCTTTCAATTCCCAAACACTGGAGTTATAAGGAAGATAATCCCTAGTCAACCCCTTCGAGCCAAAGAAGTAGGAGTTTTCTGTTCTAAACAAATTGAAACCTTTGATTTAAACCTGGGGCAGGGTAGTCTCTCAGTTAATTCAAAAAAAGATGCGCATTGAAGTCGCAAACTCTCAGTTCGTAATACAACGAACGACATCAAAAAGAGACATTCCTTTGGAATAAGAAAAAACAGTGATGGTTCCTTATCTCATAGGCAGTCATTATCTCTCAAAAAAGAAAAAAGCCCACCGAGCCAAAACCTATAAAGGAGGCTTAAAAAACTGGGGCATCCCGCTGACTGTAGTCTCGAAAACAGGAACAGTCAGGCAAAAGTTAGGGATAACAAATCAAGAAAGAGGTCATTACAAATCCTCAACAACATGAAAAATGTTGCAAAAGAAAAAGGAGATAATGATTGCCTTCCCAATAAATTCAATTGGTGAACCATCACCCAAATGTCGTTCCAAACTTGAATAGAGTTCGACGCACAATTAACTGAGTTTAGGATTGAAGAACATCACGAAGAGCGGGTGGGTACAAATATACTTTGAGCCTTTATCCTTTGTTTCTTAAACCGTGAACCAAGCCACGTTACAACCCTTCAAAAGTCCTAATTGAAGCACGGGTTAGTTCGAAAGCATACTGTTACAAAAGGTATCCTGACTCCTGTAAGGCTTTGCTCTAAATCTTGTGTTGATTTTATCTTACAAAAAGTTTTCTGCTAAAAAACGCATTTTTCAAAACTTTGAGACTAGCATAAACTTTGCATTATTTGAATATCATTGTTTGCACATGGTTATTTGTTTAACAGCGAAGAAATTCATACAGTGAATGTTCGGAGGAACGAAAATCACTTCAAAAAGGATGACACTTCCATTGACAAATCTCCTATCAACAAGGGGGCATGACATGTCACTATCCAGCACGCCTGAGGCAGTCCAGTCAAGGTTTCAACAGATCTTTCAAAGTTCAGTTAACCTGGGGCAGTCCAGTCAAGATTTCAGCAAATCTCTCAAAAGTTCAGTGAACTTGGGGCAAGTCTCCTTCATCATCACTTGGGGCATTCGAATGTCAAAAGTGTTCAACAATTCCTTCATCACCTGTTGGAAGATACAGTTTCAGATACGCTCCAGACACGGTAGTCATTCTGTCACTCATTCAGATCCTAGTTACAGTTTCAGATACACTCCAAACAAGGAAGTCATTCTGCTACTCATACAGATCTCAACTCCAAGATACAGTTTCAGATACGCTCCAGACAAGGTAGCCATTCTGTCACTCATTCAAATCCTAGTTACAGTTTCAGATACACTCCAAACAAGGAAGTCATTCTGCTACTCATACAGATCTCAACTCCAAGATACAGTTTCAGATACGCTCCAGACACGGTAGCCATTCTGTCACTCATTCAGATCCTAGTTACAGTTTCAGATACACTCCAAACACGGAAGTCATTCTTCTACTCATACA